TCCTATCAAATACAAGACTTTCACATTTTATAAATGTTAAAAATATCAATGTCAATCAATGGAAAACATAAAAGAGTTTAGATGGAAGTTTATTAAAAGATGGTCCAAAGACTTTTTACTCCTTTGTCTAGTGGGTTTATTGGTCAACATAGATTTTAATTATGGAAAGTAGCATCACATTATGTTAAAAAGGCTGGTTATGGTGATACTTAGTCACATAATGTCTAACATTATGGGAATCCACTTCTTTTTGCAAAATCATTAAATGTTCTACCAGAAAGATCCTGCCTTTAACTCCTGGATTTTATGACAAATCTATTTTTTACCCTTAAATACATTTTCTATGTACTTTGAGTATTTAGGAGTGCAAAAACTTCCAATATATTCTCACCTGGTGCTGTGTAGATATCTTTATATGTTTTTTGGGTTATATTTTTCAATTTGTTCCTTTTATTCTATTTGCTAGGACATTTTCTTGGCTATGAAGTCATCACATTTGCTGTGGAACTGCTAACCAATGTCACGACTTCTAGCTGAACAGTTTTGTGCATCTGACTTTTTTTTCCCCCTCACAGGGAGTTTGTAGTCCAAATTCATTTGCAAGTAGACAAGTCAAAATTTTCAGTTCTAGCGTGTGTTAGTACACAGGTTTTCTTACATCAGAACCTCTTCAAAGTGTCTGGTTACATTTGATTTTTCTTTAGAATGTACGAGTTGCTCTAAAACGCCTCAGGTCAGGGTAGACGACGGGTCTGTGGAGCTACAATAAGGAATTCAGATCAAAACAATAATGTCCTACTTTATATAGACCATTAGAAAATTATTCAGATGAGAAAAGGAAATATTTCAAAGCCTGATATATCCACATTAAAACACTACAGATTAGAGCAGTTTTTATGGAATGGAGCTTTCTCAAATATTGAAGCGAAGGTCAAAAAATATTGAAGTGAAATATTTCTATAATAGAAGGGCCAATAGTAGGAGACACGTTTTAACTGTCATGGTAGGGAGAATGTTAGAATGGGCAGATCATTTTATTTTGTTGAGTTAAATTGAAATGTGTCAGATGGACACTGGGTCTGACCTGTACAGAAGGAGGGGAGTTAGAAGTTATGGCATTAATGGACAAATGCATCCAATGCATAAATGCATAAACTGACATTGTTGACTTTCATTACAAAACAAAAACCTAAAACACACACACATACACACACACACACACACACAGACACATACACAGGGGAAACAAGACAGACAGTAAACAGTTTCAAACAGGACCTTAGAGTTTGTCTTACTTATATAAATGAACAGATTTTATGGAAGATCTCTGAGCTGACAGAAGCATCAGTGTTTCAGAATCCTGACAGCACCAGGAGCATGTTCCTGACTGAACCGAGCTTATCATGGCCTTCACAACCAGAAGATGAAGCTGTGCAGACTGCATGCGCAAGTTGGTATGTCGGTCTGAAAAAAGTATAAAAATAATTTAAAAAATGTAAAAAATCATAAAATGTGATTAAGAGGTAGGATTTCACATGTACCTTCAGCATACTGTTTATGAAAAATTTAAGAGTACAAACATCACCTCAGAGGAGAAAGAGATAGATCCACTTTCAGAAAAGTGCTAATCCCTCTGCTGGGGATGTAAACAGTCAGAGTGAAGATGGCTCTAGTTAACAGAAGGAAATGTAATACTGAGAGAAGAAGAGACATCAGAGCCCAGTTTGCCTGGAGGCCTGGAGACCTGCCAAAAGCTTCCAGGAACCAAACTGGTACTCTGGAGGTCATCCCAGAGGCCAAATAAACCACAAGACAAGTGTGGTTTAATCTCAAACAGTGACGTTATGAGACTTCCTATAGAATTTGCAAATATGTTTTAATTGTATGTTTTATGGAAATTACTAAAACTGGCATTTCTTAATAAAATCCTTTATGATTTTCTAGCATCTGATGTTTTTTGATACACTGAGGAAAGCTAAGAGTCTGTTCCTGCTGTCAGGGGGCTTGTGAGCCCCCACATCGCCCCACACCCTTCCATCATGACCTTGGATGGAGAAACAACCTCTTGACCATTTTTTTTTTAAAGCTATAAAGGTGTTCCTTCATGCATGGTTTTTGTTCTGAATTGAACATGCAGGCCTGTCCCTGCATGATTTGATAGAGTTGATGCAAGAATGCAGAAATCTGCTTTCCTGAAAGTGTTGCATAATGTTTTCCCAAATAGAGACTGAAGTCAAAATCTGTGTTCAAATTCTATTCAGTTTGACTCACTGTTGTCCATGAGAGACTGTAAACTCACACCACTAACAAAAGAAGCGTCATTGTCCCCTCTGTCGTCATGGTTTCATCGTTACAAATGCCTAGTTTATATTAAAAACTCAAACAAGGCACTTACAAGAAAACTATGCATTTCTTTACTGCTGCAAGATGTTTGAATAAACCTTAACAGGAGGAGTCTCACAATCAGGAATGTGCAGAGATTCTTCTGAACTGACCCAACAATTAAATGTGCAAGTAGGAAGGGTATATTTAGATTAGACTTTGGTGGATCTAAAAGAATGTGTGTGGGTGAAAGAGACAGAGAGACAGAGACAGTAGGTAAGGAAATCTCACCTTTAAACCATGTTGCATAAAGTCAGTGGCTCCAAATGTTCAGTTCTCTTCAGAGTAACAGAACTGCTAATGAATCTTCTACATCACAGTGGAGTGGAGAAATGGTGTTCCTCTATTCTTTACAAATTCCTACAGACACTTTAAGACCAAGCCAGAGCATCTCAATCAGATGAAAGCCCAGACTTTGACTAAGCCTCTCTAAAACCTCCATTTTGTTTCTTTTTGAATCACTCACAGGTGCGTATTGGTCTGCATAAACTACAGGAAACCATTTAGGTCCTGGAGCAGCGAAGTGGCCCCAGGCTGTGCTGCCACCGCCGTGTGTGAGTGGAGGTCTGCTGTCCACAAAATAGAAAGTCTTTAAAAATCATCAAGATGTTTTTCATTTGTTGTTATTGTTGTTTTCTTTTGTGAGAAATGTGAGTTGTGTCTTTTGGTCAACTGTAGTTTTCAGTGTTTCCATGGAGACTGTTTTTGGGTTCATTAATCGTTATAGATAAATAAAATATGAAAACAGCTGTTTGGGTTTTCTCAGTTTTATCAAACATCAAAATGTGTTTAGTGATCAACAAAATTTCAAGCTTGACAAAAATCAGAAATATTTAACTGTGATGGACTGGCAGACTGGCCAAGGTGACCCTGCATTTTGCCCATTGGCCTCTGGGATGGCACCAGCACCCCTCATGGCCCCACCGGGGATTAGCATGTAGGATAATAGATGGATGGATGTATGGATGGATGAAAAGATATTAAAGAGGACAAAATACATTTTGATTGCAGTGAAAGTCAAAAACACAGGTGTGGAAATCCCCCACGCTTTGAACAAACATAAGTTGGTGTGTAGCCAAGAAATGTGGAGCAGAAGATGACAAAAACAATGACAAGAGCATGTTTTGATTGGAGGAAGTGGTTTATTAGTTTCTGGTAAACGAACAGGAAGTGTGCCAAGATAAAATGCCATTATTTCCCTTGTGGCTGTCATCTTTGTGAAATCGAGATATACGGTGCAGGTAATACAGGTTACGGCTTCACCATGAGAGACAGACATGTTGTCGTGTTACAGGGTTACAGCGCTTTGCTAGAGACAGTAATTTGGCTTCCTATGGCTTCCAAGACCTGCTGCCAAGCAGCACCCCCATAGCATGATCCTGCCACCACCATGCTTCACAGTGGGAGATGTTCATGTGTTTATGGTGATGTGCAGTGTTTGGTCTCATTCGACCAGAGAACTTTTTTCCACTTCCTTTACTGATTTACGTTGTCATTTACAATAAGACAGCCAAAGCCTCTTCCAAACATCTTCACGAAAATAGACAAGAGAATAAATGAAAGTTTAAAGTCTGGAATAAAATATCACAGTACTAGTGTTTTTGCAAAATCTGCCACACTGGTAGGCCTGGGGGTGTTTCAGAATATTTATGAAATATATAGGATGATATACTTGCATCCTGCAGAAATTTATCTTTTCAACGGTGGGTGACCTCTAACGTGCATATTTATCACTGTACATCTGCTGTTATTGCTTCAACTTTTGAAGAGGACAGTGATATGCCTGACAGTAATGGTTGTGATAATGAAGGCTGTGAGAGCTTTTAGAACAGAACTTTGAGACCAACGGCAGGGAATTGGAGGTTCTGCTGTTCTGCTGTGCTTCTGATTTCAGTCTCCTTTGAGTACAGCTTTACAGTAATTTAGTATAGTTTGAACTGTAATCTGATATAGGTATGTATTGCTATTAAAAGTTATTTGAGGTTGTACTTGCATCTTTATCGTAAATATTGCTGCAATGATTGATGATGTTTAATAGTTTGACAAAACACAACATCTATGTGATTTTTTTGGAGAACTCAGGCAACAGCTGTTGTCTACCTAGTCTCCTCATCTCAGCTGCTGAAGCTTGTAGCACTTTCAGCGTTGTCATGGTGACCTGGTCTCCTCTCTCTAGTCTCCTTGTTGACGGTCTCAGGTTGTGAGGACAGCCTGATCGATGTTACATATTTTTATTTGTCATTATCTTTGCAAAAAACAGTCTCTGTTTTTATATTTAAGTTCTTTTGTATTTTTAGTTTTGTTTTAAAAAGGCCTAATTTTACCAACCATGATTGAGTTGTAAAAACAATAAAATATCCAAGGGGGTGAATACTTTTTATAGCCAGTATAAATCATATTCAAAAATTCTGCCCAGATGTAGACTTATGAAGACAACTGCAGGTTCCTGCACTCTTTGGCCAGTTGCTCCTGTTTATTGTAATTACACATGATCTTTGTGTTTGTGGCTGCCTTCGTCCAGGCTGACGCTCTCTTCCTGAGAACAACACGCTTCCTTGAGGGATCACTGGGTCCTCACACTGACAAATTGAGAAATGATGCCATGTTGCATCAGATGCGTGTGTGGTTTTTTTAGAATTCATCTTTATTGCAGAACCCCTGACCATCACTATACATACTCCCAACTATAGAGATCACAGATAGCAATGGCATTTTAAGAGTTAAATCACAGCATTAGCTGGAGAATACAGAAATACAGCTTGCAAGCCATGATTCAAACAATCATTTCAGCACATCATAAAGCTGCACCTTTAATAGAAAAAAATAACAAAGTGAAAAGCCAAAATAAATATTTTAACAAGTTTCTAATTTGGATCTGTCCTCAGGTCCAAACACGCAGCACACACAGCACTGGCTAAAGCATTTCACAAAACCCATCAGACGTGTTTACATTTTTAACATGTCATTTTTCCCCCATCATCAGTTAGAAAAACCATGTTGACACAGCAGGACTTTAAAGAGAGAGTAAATACAGTGTGTTAATATAGTTTGGTAGATTCAGGACAGAGATCAGTGGAAGTGGGAGGTTTTGTGCTTGACAATCTAACTTTTGTGCTTTGTATTCTTTATGTGTGTTTTGTTCAATTGTGAAGACCGGATTAGTTAAATCCAGCCAACCCTGCATGGAGCTACTCTGCAGAAACTGATTTTAGTGGAACAACTTTCTGTCTTCATTCTAGATCTGGCTAAGTTCTTCCTGTTTGTTGTCTGTCTTTAGCAACTTCTAATATCACAGAAGTGGCTTCAGCAGACAAACTGTTTCACAAGTAGCTCTGACCCTTCAATTCTTCTGTTTTTTCATCCAAATGAAGTATTATCCAGCTTTTATACTGGCTCTAAAAGACTGCCTGACCTTAGACATTTCAGTAACAGCTATACAATTTGACCTGGTCAAATTACTGTCTCCAGCAAAGGGCCGCATTTTAAAATAAATAACAACAATAAGAAAACTGACGATGGCAAAGATCAGATTTAAATTAATGCAATTAATTTATTTATACACATTTGCTACTAAAAATAAACAGTCATGCTTGTCATAAATCCTGGGAAAATGAATGCTTAATAAGACATTCACCACGTGTACAAGGCAAAAATCCCCCTCACTTATTTACTTGGTTACTTGCTACATAACAAGTGGCTTCCAGTGAATCACCTCAAGACTCCAACTTATAGGAAACAATAATAAAAAAACAGTATAAAATAACTCCTAGCCTGATGCAAGCCCTATAATACATGTCCCTTTATGTTAAATTAGAATAAATTAAAAGCTTTCTAGAAACACAAAAATATTTTATCCCAGCATAATATGTAATATAATAAATGCAAAATATAAAATATATCAATATATCATATACCAATATGCAAAGTTTACATATTAGATTAGTGGGTAACACTTTATTTGAAGGGGTCTGCATAAAACTGACATAATATTGTCATAAATATAATAAAACACCAGTTACAAACATGAAGGAGTGTTCATGAATGGTTATGGTCATGAAGTGACATTTGGTAAATAATGACACTTTTAATGGATTTTTAATTCTATTTTTAGTACAATTTTTTTACACTTCATGACAACAGTCATAAACACTCATGAAGACTCCTTCATGTTCATAAAATGAACATGCACACCCCTTGAAATAAATTGTTACTGATTAGTGTAGTTTATTTGCATCAGTGTTGAGGCAGCTGTTAGTGAAAAGAAAACGTAGAAAAGAAGCTAACCTGTTCCTGAGAAGGTTCTACTCAGTACTACAGAGGTGGATTATTAAAGCATAAACCTGCACTGGTGTGATCAATCTTTATTGAAGCAACTGTGTCGATGGACTCAGGAGCCACTAACTATCTGACCAATCATCGAACACAAGCTGAGCTCCAAAGAATGACTGGTACTCATTTTTAGGCATAAAGTCTGGGTGAGAAGAAGTTACATGTAGTTTGTCATTAGTATCCAGCTTAAATGTGCCAGATGTGAACAGAGATTTTTTTACATAATCTACATTATCCTTCTTGTAATCATTGCAAAACACTGTATCCTCTGCTGTCAAAAGCGGTAGGTCCTTACTGTAACTTTGTTGGTAGACTGTCACAAAGCTAGAGAGCACCAGGGATTGTTTACCAACAAAGTGACTGGTGTCAATCTCATACAAGGTCTGCAGGAAGACTCTGTAGAAGCCCTTTCTGGGCACTATCAGACTCCCGTTGTAGTATCTGAAACCTCCATCAATGTACGCCCGTCCCTCTTCGTGTTCCCAAAGAAGATATTTTCCATTCGTGATGTTTCCGTATGGAACTGAAAGTGTGGACAGAAACACAAAATAGGATTGGAGAGCTTTCTTTTTGCAGGTAAAACATCTAATATTTCATGCAAAATTAAGGAAGAGTCAAAGGAAAGAACAGAACTCCTCTGGCAACCAAGAGCAAAAGGTTCAATAAGATCAAACTCAATATTATCTGGTTTGTACTGGTTATGCATCCATCACACTATTGGGTTTATACACATGATGCTGAAGCATATCTAGTGTGGTCATCCAGCTCAGTGGCTGTCATGGTATCAGAAAAAATAGTGGCAGGCACCACTGCTGTTTGCTTAAAGCTGCAGTAAAGTTTATGTTTTTTACATATTTGTTAAAACTGTCACCATGTCATGACAGTATATCATGAGACAGATAATCTATGAAAAGACAGATCTCCTCCACCCCCTCCCTAAGCTATTATTGCTGTCTGAAGAAATGCAAAAACAACCAATCAGAAATAGGAGGAGGGCTTCTAATTGGCTACTGTCGGATGATCTGATAAAGATCGACTCACCTCAGCATATCAAACCCTTAAAGTGGCTGAGACATCGGGGAAGACGAGGGGGGAAACACTTTTACTAGAATATGTATATCATAATTTCATGCCTTTATTATCTTACTGTCTTATTCTTTTGTTCCATATCACTGGAAGAGTGAGAGTGAAACATGAAGGGATAGTCTTAACTGTTGACTGTGTAGTATCTGGCTGAAAAGAAACTAACTCAGCAGATTCCTGGGGAGGGAGGAACGTGGCCTATCGCCCAGCTGCAATCTAATAGTACATGATTTAAAAATGGTCGAAAGGGACTTTCCCAAAATAAGAAGTTAATTTCTGGAGACATTTCCAAAACACCTATGTGTGTATGTCAGAAGGCACGACATGACCTAGATAATCTCCAGAGTACATTACCTCAACATTTCAGTGTTATTCTGTAAGACAGTCATGTCTGGGCTAGGCTGTGTTAAGACACTTTATTATGAATACTAAAATAGTTCCTTATCAGGCACACAGAAATGGGGAGAGGCCAATAACTAAGAGGAAACCTGAAGAGTCAGTGTCAGGGTTGCTGGGTCTGCTTACAAACGGAAACCCAGAAAAATCCTCCTTCCCTCCCGTTTAAGCCTGTAAAACATCATTACCTGTCAACATAGCGATCGGAAGCCTCTGTGCACTTTGAGGGTGTTGCAGCTTTTCAGGAGCACCTAAGACAAAGATACAGAATATATTGCCTTTAGCAAATGATGTGTGAAACAAAAACAGACTTCAGCATCAACCTTTCACCAAACAACACATTTACCTGATGACTGGCTGTCAGACTGGGACTTGGTCTGCAAGAAAAAACAAACACAGACTTTGTTAAAACAGGAAAACAGAATCAATTTCTAAATTGGCGCTAAAAAGATCCTGTGGCTGTGTAACAGGCGGTTCTATTTAAAACCTGACCAACCACACTGCAGCTGGTTTATGGTGCTAAAGTACAGCTGCAGCATGACCTCTAAAACATGCAGAGTCTGAGATAGCAATAGTATACAAGAATGTTGTTGAAGTTGTGCCCTGCAGCAAAACGACCTTTATATTACAATAAGTGTAGCAAACCTTTATTATTTCAACCCAGCACTTTATATAAGGCAAATACGGTTTGAATAAGAAAACTCTGGGTGGAATACTTGGCTCCTGTAGAAAGCCTGGCTGCTTTTAATGTGTTACAAAACTGTAACAAGAATGGAGTCTAGTTTTCCTGGACTGAACATACGAAGGAGGAAAGATTTTTTCAGAATTCCGTCATGCTTTTAGCAGCAGGAAATTATTTTAGCAAAGCAGATCCACCTGCACTATCTTCCATGAACCTTTTCTGTGGTTTCCCTCCATTTCTCCTCCACTGACAGTTTCATAAACAAAATCCTGTGTGTCATATTTTCACAATCCCTGCTATGCACATGTCCAAAATATTTAGGCTTTGCTTGTCTAACTTTATGTCTAATCTGCTCCATTTTTTTTATTTTGCTCAGGAATCAGCCAGTGGATTACACTTTGGTGCCTTAATGGGGATACATATGTAAACATGGAACTTCCTGTTCGATTCACCAAAAATAGAAAAAAAATAAATAAATAAATCAAGTAAGTTGTACTAGCTCCTTATTTTGGAGCCAACGTTTATTACATTTAACTTGTAACATAAAGTAAAGTTTACACAAATGAATCTGTTTGCTTTGTAGTATTTGGAGAGAAAACAGGGTTTGGTTAAAATCCAGACTAACAGGTCAGACCTCAAAGAAAACCAGAAATCAGCAAAGGCCAGTAAAAACCTGATCGGGGCATAACTACCTACTGCTTGAATGATAATTTATGTCTCCCAAAAACAATATGTTATATTAGTCTACCTTTAAATGATCCCATGTTTTAAGGGTTTGTTAGTTGTGATGTGAACAGCTTGCCAAACCCACTCTACCAATGTTAAATAGCATATTCTGCTCATGACTGGGAAACATTTGTATGATTGGATGACTGAAGTTTAAGGATACAACACATGTCGGCTTACTGAATTTATTCACTTAGCAAACAAGAACCTTAGCAGAATGTCAGAGAAGCGTACAACTGCAGCAGTCTGGCACCTTGTCATCCTGCTGATTATCAGCTTTTTCACACATTACTGACGGATGCCATGTTATTCCTCAACAGGGATTAGTAATAAATCAGCAAATATAGTTTTGTTTGGTCACCCTGGAACATGTGTATTGACCAACTTGGTCTCCACTCATTTATCTTATTGAAACAGGTTACAGGATCACATATCCACATCTGCACTGAGATTGTTTCAAATGATGGCAAACCTTGTTTATCCAGAAAGGCACTTACTGCCCCACATCATCACACTGCCTTCACCAGATGCTGTCAGGCATTGGCAGAGAGGATTCTTAATGGGCAGAGCCCACGTTATCAACAGAACTGCCCTAGCCACAAAATGCATAAACCAAATAAATGTGGCACCATTTCAGTGTGTGCTGTAAGGTCTACTGCAAGTATAACAGTTACAACAAAGGAAAAAAATGGATTAAACATACACCATAGAGACCGACAATGAAGAGAGAGTGAGGAAACTCGGGACTTCCCCTCTAGGCTGAACTGCCTTTTCTCTGGGCTGAACCGGCTCCGTGGGGCTCAGTCCATCAGGTCATAACAACCCACATCCACAACCGGCACGTGCATGGAGAGAAAGTTTGTGCCAGGTGAAGTTCTTCTGTCAGAGTGCTGTCAGCAAAAAGCGACCTATATTCACCAATTTAATACATACCGAAACCATATTCATCCTGCACGAGGGAACACACCTTGACCTCCCTGCTGACAGAGCTTGTTCACCAGTTGCGCACTTTGAAAAACTTAAGTTTGCACCCTGCTGTACTGTCAAACGCGTACACAACAGCTGCTGAGAATATATTAAATATGAACAATTACCTGACTGTCAGTAGCACAGCCACACGGCCTCTCTAGTCTGAACGTAAGGAACACCGCCAGAACACCGCAAAGCAGCAGAAGGAGCGCCGCTGCCACAAACTGGGCCATCCGTCGTCGGTGCCTTTCCCTCTGGAGCTGAATGTGGCGGCTCTTCTTGCACCGAAGGCCTGCCTCTGCCTCTGCCTCTGCCTCTGCCTCCGCTCCTCCCTCATAGTCACACCGGTAGCTGTTCTCCTCCTCCATGTCTTGTGCTCTCCTATTCGCGGACCAAGTCCCGACTGTCTGCCACAACCTCCATTTATCTGCTCTTTCGCCCACGTTGAAAGCCGCGCTCCATTGAAAAGAGTCTCGATTAAAAATGAGTTTCACCCAGAGTAGAAAATCACACCAGAACTTCCTGTTTCTGAGGGCTTTCATGTTCCCGGAGTATGTAAAAACAATCTGTCTGGTTGGAATGAAAAGAATATATGCGCGTGGTAAGAACATCCCCGTAAACAGAGCAAAGTCCCTGTAAAGGCACTCCAACTGTCCTGTTACTGAAGACACATTTAGAGCTGCCTATCCCTGCAGATTCACATTGGTTAGCTTCTAAAAAGACCGTTTAATTAATATAAAGAAAATTAACTACTCTCTCATTTAACATAGTGGACATCTATTCTGATCCAATTATTCATGTTTGTGGGGTAAAGGCGGAATTAGCCGTTTTATAGTTACAGACATCAATGGTTCTCTTCTTTGCGTCTTTTGTAAGGCCTCATTTTAGCTAAATGTTGCAGGCACTCCTCACTTAATCTTTCGGATGATTCCCAGCTGCAGTCATTTCAAAGCTTGTTTGTTTTGAGAGCTATAAGTTTGGCTGACTTGTAGATGCCATTTTCTCTCCTGGTCTTGACTTGGGTTGTACAGTCAACCTTTATATGAAAATAAAAACAATCTCTGTGAAATATTTGAAGAGAACCATTCTCACAAAGCATTTAACAACACATTTGTATAAATGTTTTCAATGTTCAGGTGCCTGCTGCTATATAAGTGTACATGTATCATATTTCCCAAAACCATGAACAAAGATGTCTGGTTGTCATAAAAGCATGGTGACCCAGAAGTCTGTTCCTGTCTGCTCATACAATGTCTTATTGAGTTGGTTTCTGACCCACACACATAGATTTACAAAATATTTTTTCATAGTAACTCTCCACTTATAGTTTTTAGCACAGTGGATGTCTGTTGATTTGTGGCCCTCAGCAATGAGTCGGAAGGGTTTTTTTTTTTTTTTTTTTTTTTTTTTTTTTGCCAAAAGTTAAATAAAAAGAACATTGTTACCCTTCTGGTATTAGCATGTGTTTTCCTTTGCTTAGCCCACAGACACATTTGTACTAGATGCAAGCTGGTTGTGTTTCATAAACAACACCAAGTAGTTCGCTCTATCTTCCATTAATAACCGCTTCTGATACTTTCTTCTTCTGGTCGCCATGGGTACGCTCACTGTTCATCCGCCAAGACATCCTCTGGACACATTTTGTGATGTCACTGTATACACCATACAACTCCCATTCAAAATAGCATTCTTACAAATACCTGAAAAAGAAAATAAACAGTGTATTCAATTCAAAATGAAACAAAAGACAAGTAAAATTAGATTATTGAAATCTGAGATATGAGTTTCTCCTTGTAAAAAAGCCCATTTTAATGATTTCAAACTGTTTGCTATTAAACATATCAAACCAATAGAATGGATCAGACTGTGTTGTTTCATGAAGTATTTTCATTTTCAAGTATACTATGTTTAAACAAATAACAGATATAACATGTGTAAATTAAACGTCAGCCTGTTAGTTGAGTACCTGGTTATGTTTAAGTGCTGCAGAGAGTTAGGCTCAGCAACAAAATACTCCTCTGAAAACCTTCTGGTACGACGATGTGGAAAATGTGGGAATAAGGAATAATAATAAATGTGGGAATTTTGTTTAAAGAAAGGCAAAATGTCCAAGTCCATGAAAGTAAAATATCAACATCCAAAGGATAAAAACTAACACACATTTATTCTTAAACCAACAGATTTCCTTTCCCAAACTATGTAAAACAATAACCTGACCAAATTCTTCAAATTCACCATATTTGCTTTCTAAACTTGCGGTTGTGCTTTACATCTGCTCAAAACAAATGTGAGGTAACAAAACCACAAACCAGTGACCGTGTCGTTTATCCTGAAAACACAGAAATATATCTAAAAAAAAAATAAAATGCTCACAATACAGGACCCATCTGAAGTTTATTGTTTTAACGCTTTGTGATGTTGCAGGAAATGCTGTTATAAACTCCAGCATTGTCTAGTAAATGTAAAAGAAACTGAAAGGCAAGAATCACTTTGTTTAACAGTGATTGTTTTAACCAAACATCTGTCCACTTTGAAAACAGAAGTAAAAAGTTGCTGCTTTCAGCAAACTGTTCTTGACGTCAGTCAATGTTTGCTGAGAGATGCACTGGCCACATGTGATGGATGACGCAAAATGAAAAAAATACCAAAAAAAAAATATGGAAGAAATTTAATCAGGTTCATGGAGGTCCAGTAGTTGTTAGCTGTGATTATGGCGCTGTCGGTCTGGAGTAGAAAATGAAAGGAAGCAGAGATGCAAATCTTCAGATGTCTGCTGCTTTTTAACCGATGTTGAGGTTCTGCTCCTGTCTTTGAACTACGATAGTCACTGCTTTCAGATGTGCTTTCAGAGGAGCTGAGCAAAAGGGCAAATCTCTATAAATAATATGTGGTTAAATATAGATCATGATCAGACACTGAAATATCCCAGAAACTGAAATGGCCTACCTCAGCACTAGAGAAGCCTAAAGTAAAGAAGTGCTTGTTAAGGATTCTTCTAGTTTCTTTCCTTCAGGTAGAAGTTGTGCTGTTTTACTCCCCAGAGCCCACACTCTTCCAGCTTGGGAAACACTTTGGCATTGTCCAGGAGGAATGAGCCAGACAGTTTCCCAGGAAAGAAAAAAGTCTAGTTGCCTCGAAGAGCTGCTTCCAGATGTTTGGTAGACAATACTCAGATTGAAAATAAATGTAAAGAAAAGAAGCTAAAGCTCTAGAAACAGGTTCTTAACTCCGATGCATCTCTGTTTGGACAGAATCGTGTCCAGCAGGAAGTGACCTCCTGTAAACTCCTCCAACACATAAACATATAAACAGACGTTCTTACATTGTAAATGCAAATATGATATTTAATTGAAAATAGTAGACTTAAATCAGTTTTCATCAAATTGCTATCAACACTCACTTTTAGTAAGTTACATGGAATTTGTGGTTGAAAAGTCTCTCCATCTCACTCAAATAGAATGAGTTGGATAATTGTACTTCGATTCAATACTGCATGCATCCAAGTACAATTGCTTTACTTGAGTTTTTTTACCTTTTCTGGCACCAGTAATACATATTTTTTGTATATAATATGTATTTCAAATATTTGATGTAATTAGTAATTCTGTGAAGTGGGAGAGAGGGCTGCTTGGTGGTCCAGGGTTAAACCCACATGGAGGCCTTAGTCCTCAACGTGGCTGTCACTGGTTTGATTCCCAGCCTGATGATTGCTGCATGACTTCCTCCTCTGTTGTTATCCACTTTCTTGTATGGCCTCTCTCATATAAAGGCCACTAGAGCCAAAAAAAACCCCCAAAAAACTTACTAACAAAAGATGGACTGTTGGTAGTGATTTGGACCTCTGCTTCCTGCAGGACTGCCTTAACTCTTTGTGGTGCAGATATCAGACAGACTCCTGAGATGTTGGTTCCTGCTGACACTAGCACTACACAGTAATAGATGTGTTAATCCCACATTGTACCACGGCCCAGGTGCTCTGACAGGTGGAGACTGGAGGTCAGTGGAGTGCAGTGACCTCATTCTCATCTTTATTAAACCTGGATAAGATGATTTGTGATATGGTGCCTTATCCTGTACATGTTTCACCTTAAAATTATTTTTATCCTAAACCTTTGTCTCTTTATTACTCTTTGATTTCTACAGAGTTGCTAATGTTTGTTGTTTATTGTAATCCTTCCATGTGTTCTTCCCTCCCATCATCCAGGGAACTCATTCTTAATAACTCACCTGGTTAAATAAAGGCTAAATAAAACACCAGCCAAAAGTTGTGGCTGAAATCATGACTTGACATCTATTTCCAATCTGTTGCTGTTCAATTATAGTTAGCGTTAGAGAAGTGAAAGCTCCACTTCCTGTTCTCTGCTCCGTGCAGAGTGTGGTCAGCTGCAGTCCTTCTGACTCAAGGTTCCACATGTTCCCAGTTGGCACTCTTCATTCCATCGTCTCAAACCAGAAACACCATTCGCCTGAGACGCCAATAAAGCGATTTTTTTTCTCCTCCTAATGTCTGCTTACTGGAAATTTCCCTTTTTTCGGGTCATCTATGACTGTGAAACACAAATGTTTGTGCATTAATTCCCAGAAGATCAGCAGTTTCTCAAATCTTTCTTCCTCATCCTCATTCTCATTCAGGATATCATACCCAGCAGCACATCTCCATGGGTAAATTGATGTGCTGACATGCGATTGGCTGATTGGATATTTTGTTTGCAAATAAGCAATATCACAGATTTATCTAGTAATGTATAGAGTGAATGTAAATGAGGGATTTACATTTGAATATTAGGAAAAACATGAGTGAAACAGTTAAACTCATTTTTATTTGAGAGTTGAGCTCTGAGTTTCAGGTCTTATTTACACAGTTTGGATTGTTGCAGTTCTGATTTCTGGGCGCTCTCAGTCCTCCAACCTTCTATGTGGCAAAGTAGGAAATAAAAACAATAGAAAAAGCTGACAGCAACATCACACCCAGAGAGGGTCAGCGCTTGTTGAGTGACAGTGTACACACAGTATCCTACCTGTACAATAATCGTGCTACTATTCACATTCATCTGTACATTAAGAATTGTATTTACAGTGATCACATTAGGGAGAGAGAGCCGGTACCTGAGGAGTTACTTCCATGATTAGCTTTTACTCATTCACCAGAATAAAAAGAAGCGTGTCCGGCCAGTGTCGGCCCAAACAACAGCAGATCCCTCAGATCCCCAACCGGGATCGGGCGGTGACCGCACTGGTTTCACAGCTCACTGCTCCCGATGATGCAACACGGCTGGAAGTGGTCAGAGGAAGCAGCAGGCTCCATAACAACAGGATCAACACTGGAGTTGTGTTTATGTTTCAAACATCAAATGGCCTTGTCATCTGAGTCACACCACACACCCTCCACATAACTGCGAGCCATTTTTCTGAAGGTCTTTTTTTTGTTTCAAACCTTTGCTGAGATAGGCAGCAAAGAGCAGATTAGATTAGAATTTTATGGCATTTTACGCAAGTCCAAGATGTGTCACTTCCTCAGCAGTCGCACAACATGGGGACTTTATAACAAAAAAACAAAAAAAAGCGACTGCTGTTTCTTTAAGAGAAACACTCCTCTTGCACGTGTTCAAGTGAGCTGACACACTTTAACAAAAGACAGGAAGCTATAAAACAAAAAGGTGAGGTCACTTCACTCAGACTTTCTCCAAAAGCGCACAAACTGTACATGGAAACATGTTGGGCGAGTAAAAAATACCGTTCAACAGCACACCGGATAAAAAACACCATGGAGGAACACGTTGGAAATGTGCAGCATTTTCTCCCAAGAA